CTCTCTCTCTCTGGCTGTCTCCTTCTGCGACTGCAAGCACTCTTACGACTTGACCGGTTGCCCCCACTCGCCGGCGGACTCATCATCGCTCCAGCGCCCGTTAGCTCCACCCGTCCGGACAAACAATCAAGCCTACATTCAACACACACACATACACACACACACAGCCCGTCTGCAGCGTAGACAGGTAAACGCCCTGCTGCATTCCATCAAGCATCTTCTCTTCACTTTCACTCATGCTCGTCCAGCTCCCATCGGCACACTCAAACTGACGTCACTTTCGCCCAAACGCCAGTCGGACATGTCCTGTTTCCCATCCATTCCCAAATGTTCTCTCTTGCCCATCGACTCCCAACCGTTCTCTCCTCCTCTTGGCCTAGCGACAAAATATATACTCTCTTGGCTCGCCTCCCCTCCCCTTCTCTCCTCTCCTCTCCTCTCCTCTCCTCTTCTCTCCCATCATGCATGCTCTCTCTTTTCTCTTTTTTCTTTTTTCTTTTCTCTTTTCTCTTTTCTCTACTTGAACCGTCGACATTGTCTTTTAGCCGCTTTCTCGCTCACCAAATTACATGCTGCCTCCGCCGCAGCTTGTGACTTGAACAAGTTTTGCGCTTCCGCTGGTCGCTCGGCTGGTCGGCTGGTCGGCTGGACGGCTGGCCGGCTGGCCGGTTGGCCGGTTGGCGGGTTGGCGGGTTGGCGGCTCGGACGGCCAGTCGTGTCTGCGACGGCCTCGAGTTTGGCTGTCAGACGCGAAGTGGGTCGGTGGCGGGGCTCAACTGTTAAATAAATAAGCAGCAGATGCGTCTGTCTTGTATGCTTGTCCAGTCGCAGTGTCTGTGTGCCGAGTACACCGGTCAACCCCCGGCCGCATTCCGAGAGGACGTCCGCTGTGTGCATGCCCCAATCTCCTTTGCCTCGCTCTCTCTCTCTACAACCGGCACTCGTCAGCACAACCTTCTCACCATTACATACTCGTTTGTGTGTGTGTGTGTGTCTTGGTGTGTATATATTGGAGTGAATGACGAGTGGTTGCAGGAGTATATTCACATGCAACTGGTTGTCAGCGCGTGCGTGTGTGCGTGCGATGGGGATGGCGATAAGAGTGTGAATGAATGCGCTTAGTGGGTCTGGTGGATGATTGAGTGAGGGTGTGCGTGTGGTTGAGTCCCGTCTGTGTCGGTGTTGTGTGATGAGGCAAATTAAGTGAATTTTCTCACAACTTCACATACCAGCTGGCACTGCCAACTTCCGGCAGAAACAACAACTTACCCGCCCCTCGCCACACCCCGTCTTCACACAACCACGTCATAAGAGTCCACACCCCACTTCACCCCACCCCACTTTAGACAAACAACAACCGACAGTCGACAACAGCTCGCAATAGGTCAAAGCAACGCTCTTCTCCTCTCAGCTTCGCACTCTCACCCTCCCCACCCCAGACACACCCTCAACGCCGGTCCCCCTCCCGTGTTGGGTACAAAGACTCCCCCGACTGAGGACAAATGGTGCATTCGGCCAAGCCACTCGGCCTTCATTTGCATTCATCCACTTCTCACTTCCACCATCTCTCTCCCCCTCTCAGCCGATTCTGCTCGTCCCCCAACTCGGAATGTCGCCAGCCAGTCCGATCGAAGCATACAACTCTCCGTCCCCTGCCACCCCAACGGTAGCGGAATGTACCAAAAGGCAGAAAGTGACTTGTAGCAGCTACCGTTGCGTTGGACGAGGCGAGTGGAAGTGATTCTTCAGTTGGTTCCACAGCAGACTGTTGGGGTTTGGAGTTGTGGAGCTTTCGTTTGTGGGTGAACCATCGTCAGGCGTTGTTTGACCTTGTTTTCGCAACTTGGTTCTGTTGCTGGGACGACTTAGAGGAAGACACCAAGTCCGGAGTCCATTGTATGCATCATCATTTCCAGATTGGGATCGTGAATGTGGTACATTCGCAGACATTTCGCCGACATCGTCAGCGAGTTTCGCCATTCG